AGGAAAAAAAATACTATGCTTCAGGAAGAATGTAAAGTCCAGTCTTTGGATTCTATACCGCTCTGACCGCATAAGGCAATGACCGAGTGAAAAAATATGTTTTTCGTCCGGGAGACTGTAAAAAGAGAGCGGGGGAACATTAATTTTTTCTTTTTTCTGTCTTTTTTTTTTGTCATTTCTTATTTTTTTATTATTATTGCCAAATAAATGCTTTCTTTAAAAAGAAAAAAAAACCTTCTCCTAGGATAAGTTGTAGTTTTTCGGTCAAGTATTAATACATACATGAAACGGAGATATTGATTTTAAAAACAATATGTAACGTACATAAAAAACGTCAATATAGGACTCAGTATTTAATAAATGATTCGTTTTTTTCTGTTCTCTTCGCGTTATTGAAAATATCAGTATCATTCCACGCTAATTCTGATCAATGTTACAAAAGGAAAAACCGGCCAAGTGTTAAAATTAACAAAAAAATTCAATAAACATACATACGTGGATCATACTTTTTCCAAAGTAAAAGGAGGATTAGTTACTTCTCATTCAATTTTGGTGATTCTTCTCTCTGTTACTCAAAGGTGCCGTAATGATTTCTTTGTATTGATGGATTCTGGTTAGATCACGTCTTGTAATCAAACAGTGCATGCGCAGGGCATGCATGTTAAATTCAACCGCCCTCTCGTCACAAGAGCTTCGATCATTTTGGGTCAGCGTCCGGGATCGAGAGATCTCTCGATCCCCGACGCTGACCAAAAGGATCGAAGCTCTGGGAACGAGAATGATTCAACCGAAGACAGGTCTATGTTAAAAAGAAACACGATTAATCAAACGATTGACATTTGAGAAGGATTTTGGAGTTAGTTTATCATTTTTGCTATATACAACTGAATGTCGTGTGCATGTCTTGTATTCGTCCTGCGATTCCGATCCCAGTAAACTGAATGATGTGCTACAAAATGATTTCTTGACCCAAGAGAGGATTTCCTTCCTTCTTTTTTGTAATTATTACACTAACGTAGCTTTCAAAAGATAATATTTTCTTGGATAACGAATGATATTACAATCAGCAGTCGGTTTCCAGTCGGCTTAAATAAATCAAGTTCCTTTTTGTTGCAGTTTGTGTGATTGGAGGCATGGTTGCATCAAAAAATGTTTCTAAAAAAACATCGACATGCATTTTTTTTTAGAACTGCCAGTGGGGCCAAGCAAATATCTGAAAAAAAATTTAGATCAAACTTAACAGGATCAAGAATCCAAACGGACAACAGGCAAACCAGCTGGCTATTTTCAAAGCTTGACTCAGGACTATCCAGAACCAATCCAGCTATCGGTCAGGGTGGGACTTGAGCTTGCAAGTCCATTGATCCAGCACTCTATCCGCTCGGCCAAGCTCCTCCCCAGGTGAAGTTTGATTTTCTAAGAATAAAAAGGAAAACAGCTGGTAGCCACAATCAGGCATGGTAAACCTTGAACACTAGTCGCTCGATTAACCAATCCTGTTTTCAGTCTATTTCCTCCAGGTTCTGTTTCATCTTTGGCTTTAGCAAAATATCGCATGTGCGAGTTAGTTATACCTTGGCGCAAGGAGAGTTGAACAGAGCTTGCTCCGCTTATGCTTGATCTCGCTTATGCGAGATTATATAAAAGATCACAACTCAATACAGGGGGAGGGAAAATGTCTGAGGCGTTTTTCCTTTTAATGGGATTTGCATTACTCTGCAGTGAATACTTAAGCAGAGGTCTATAATGATACATAAGGATAACCAGCCAGAGTCTTGTTAAAGTTGTTAGCAATCATAATTGTCAGTAACTTAAACGGCCTGGAGGAATCTAGCTTGTTTCATAGCTAGCTTCTTTGTAAATTCGGTTTCTAATTTGGATGGTCAGGGTGAATTGACACTATTTTTAGCCCCCTAACCAGTTTAATATATTTCGTTTACTTAGACTTAAATGGAACATTCTAAACACAAAACAGCTTAATTAATACACTGAAATTAAAAAAATGTGTTTCAGCCCCCTTCAAGTGCCAATCTAGCCCTGCAGGCCAAAGTCTGATTCAGCTCCTCCTGGAGCCATTTGAGCATAAGTTTAGCCAAAACAGCCCAATCTAAAGGCTATTCCAGCCCACGCTGGGGCCCATTTCAGCCCTCGGGTCCAAATTAGCCCAAGGTAATTGGATGTTACGTCTTGGCCCTGATTTAAGGGAGCCAAATTACACTCAAAAAATAGGACTGCATTTTACTAACAGAAACGGCCCCATTTTTAGGGTAAACAGATCTTTCTGATCTACAGTGTATAATCAGGACTTTAATTTCGAGAGACGGGCACCAACTGGCCAAGTTATAGTTACTGTAATATATCTCTTCCCACCAATATTCCCTTTGCAAAAATGCCGATGTTTTACTTGGAGAAGGCGGATGAACCGTATTACTAAACTAGTAAACCGGGGCCATGAGCAGCCCCAACACTATCGCTCCCTACTATATTCAGGTTAATTACA